GAGAGAGAGAGAGAGAGAGAGAGAGAGAGAGAGAGAGAGAGAGAGAGATTGAAAATAGCGCAAAAAGTTGCACAAATATCGAACAATACCAACAGGCCGGCAGATGGCTGCTCAAGTGAAGTGGTGCTGTAGACACGCACCTCGGAACGTCAACGCTTGCGGCCGAACATACCACCCGCTTCCCTCCGCCAACGCGCCGAGTGCCGAAGGCCGCATTATACTTCTCTCACGTTGCAGTGCCCACAGCCAAGGGCACATTAACTACACGCAGCAGCAGTAGCACTAGATATACTTTCGCCCTTGTGGATCCTCCGACCCAACGTTCCTCGTGACATCATTGTTTTGTGAAACTCAAGGTTCCGTTGGACAGCTTTCGTCCTCAGAGTACCCACACAAGAAAACGGTCACCGATCCCTCCTGAGACCAAAGCTCGATTGCTCTTGCATGCCAAAACTGTTGAAACGATATACCAGACCTTTTCCAGAACCGAATTTTTCGGGACTTGCGCACCCGATTGGTTGGGTAGCGAGGTTTGCGAGCCGGTGTGGGGCGTGTACCATGACCGCATACGTACGGCAGTCGAGCACATCCAACCACTGAAAATACAAAACGGTACCTTCAGAGGCATGGTTCTTATGCCCCGCAGAGATGTCTCAGCTAGATTACACATGCATTGAATAACTGCTGTATTATGTGTTGTGATATCCTCCCCAAGCGCAGGCAGGCTCCTGCTGTACTATCACCTATGGCACGATAAGACAAGGATGGAATTTCACGACGCTTGTGTCCAAAGCTTCTATCAGTGAGCGAGGTTTCCTTTCTAACCAGATCCACCAGCGAGGGTACGATTTCCAAATAAAACTACACCTTAACAACCATGGACGTTTTACCCACCTCAGGCGAGACTGTACTGCAGGGGATTGTTCTGCTGAAGCCCTTTGCAATGATGGTTGAATGATGTCAGGCATAACTTCAGCACATCAGCTCTGGTACAAGGTGCACAAGTCCCTCCAACAAACTCTCAACAACGTCCGCCAACGACTTGCATGTACGACTTGTCGGTGACCCGTGCGGCGTCATCAATTCCAAAGGCTAGGGCGTTATGTCATGACCCACCTCGCCATCTCCATCTCCCTCCTCCTCCTCCTCCTCCTCCTCCTCTTCCTCCTCATCGTCCGAATCCTCCTCATCGCTGCTGTCTCCAAGCTCCGGACCGATGTAGTTGCCGAACTCATCGTACAAGGTGTCATCCATGCTGCCCAGCCAGACCACGACCCAACACCCCGGCTCTCAGCCCTCCCTTATCAAGACACCGCCCCACCCACAAAAGGAGAAGGGAATCTGGCAGCAGAGCTCGGTCTTCGCGATGCTCCTTCCCTCTCCAATGTGCCGTCAAAAGGCAGTTCCCGAGTTTTAAACTGACCAACCAGACGGAGAGGAGGCGTGTGGGCAATAGGTGACGACATCGGCGTGTGACTGCGATAGATGGATTCAGCGCGGAGAGTAAAGCATTCTGGAGGGGAAACTATCCGGTACGTAGTTGCTGTGGCCGCCGCCTTGCTCCTGCCGGCAACGACATCCATAAGCGAGTTACTGCTGGAGGTCTGGGCGAGTCCTTCGGGGAGGTATTCTGCTGTTGGGGACAGCAGTTGTAGTAGACGATCCAATTTAGCCTTGGGAAAATCAGTCAACCGCCGAACGGTGGGCACAAACCATCAAGCAAAGCTCGGGGATACTAGGATCCTTCCTTGCAATTGATCGGCTGCTGTCGTCGGGCGTCTTCCCTAAAGTCTTCCTGAAGACAACCCCCACACCCACCGAGAACGAAACGTGCCTGTTGTGTACGGCAGGCGGCGGCCAAGCCATCCTTACAACGGGGCAGATGGATCCTACCAACACATTCGGCCTCAAATGACCCAATCCCAGCTCCTGCATCACATCAAAGCACCCACCAGCAGTAGCGCCGACACTCACATGGACACACAACCGGCGTGGCAGAATCAGAGACACGATGTATCAGAGGCCGGCAAAGGCGCCAGAGAGGTCCGTAGAGTAGATTTGCTGAAACTTCATACCCCTTGCTGATTGCACGGAGCCCCCGCCAACGGCGGCGTGATTTCGTGTCCCGTAGGGTATTATTGCGGGGTTCTGCGAACTCACAGAACATCCAGCACCTAGCAGCCTCTGGACCAGCGAAGAGGTCTGTGCAACTCAGTGGACGGCACAGCACGGAATAGGCAAGGGTGGAAATCTTGTGCTTGGCTCACTTGGGAAAGCCCGGCGTGCTTGCTATTGTTCTCAGAGAGGAAAGCTTGCAAACGGAAAAGGAAGGACAGCGGCGGTGAGTGACGGTCCAAGAGCACGACGGAACAGACGACATTGATATCAGCTAGGCAAAGTTGCTGTGGTTTTGCATCGGAGCATTATGTCACTAGCGACCTCACGGGCCTCGTACTTGGAAGTCGATGTTGTCGTATTGGAGTCATGCGACAAGAAGCTCGACTTTGCTCAACGACGCGATCAGATCGAGTATGCAAAAACTACAGCTGTATGCATTGCAGTCTGCACAGAACACTTGGCGCAACCGGATTGGGCTATCTTCGCGAGACCCTTGCGACAAGCAGTTGGCTCGATACGCGACACTGCAGCGCCAGAGGCAGTCGTTCTACCACCTGTCCGTCAAGCAGAACGTCTCAACCCTACACTATCGTGGAGGTTCTATTTCGCGAAATGTTCAATTCTCGACAGAGGCACATTGTCCGGAGGAGTGAAACAGATGCGCAACACCGTTATTGCAGAATATACCACACCCCCTGGAATGTTTTTTGACGCTTCATTACTCCACGACGAAGAGGATGATGAAATCAAACGAAACGTTGTCGGGAAGTTCTCGACGAGACGGTCCCCACGCCGCCATTCTGGCCACCGTCACTTCTGTTCCTGCCGAGTAATCGAGCTTCGAAAATCGGCCAGCAAGTGGTGTGGTTTCTTATGCAACCTACGGCAGTGGAACCCGGTGTGCGCAGCAGGCATATAACACGACTATTGTAGATACCTCTTCTTTACGAGACGAGTTCTCGGCGGGACGCGTCGCACTACACTGCTGTGCGTATCCTCAAGCTCCCGGAGTTGCGTGTCGCGAGATAGGGTACTGCCGCCCTGCTCGTGCTGATGCATCGGCGCGGGTGCTCTCAAGACGAATAGGGTTGGTTACTTGACGTTAGATAGCACCTCCTCTATGTAAATGCTGGTGCCAGTGTTCGGCCTTCACGGCGGTGCTCCACAAGAACGGAGTGCGAAAAGCTTGAAACCACGAGTTGCGTGTTTTGGGTGATATGATAGGTTGAAATGTCATCGAGAAAGAGTTTTATTTTGCCTCCTTTTACCATGTGACCGGTTCTGTTTTTGGACCCGTGAAGTGGGGATGCGGTGTTGAGCTTGTGTATGAGAATGTGTCTTGTGCCAATTCGATCAGACATGCACACCATAGGTCAAAACGTTGTGGAATGAAATGCATTCGCACACAACGGGGCGTTTGTGTGTGCTGGCGCATGCATGCGTCCAGACACGAAGCTTTGCACACAACGGAGCATCCGCGTGTGCCGGCGTGTGCATACGTCCACGCATCCACTTCATCTTGCTGATCCTCATCGATCGCAACGCCATCCAAGGGTGCAACATCCACACTCCCAATTGTTGCCGACGTGTGTTGCGTACACTGGCGGAGACAGAGAGAGAGACAGAGAGACAAGAGACAGAGAGGGAGAGACAGAGAGAGAGACAGAGAGAGCGGTGTTTTATGAACAGATCTGGAGTTGGCGGTAGATGCAGTCCGGTCTCAAGTACGACGATGACGTCGCATTCTACCTGACCAACTATGCACACTATATAGGGTACCAGCTCAGGGTTACGAGTGCTAGGCGATGTATGGGAAATATAGCACAGCCGGTATCGACTATACCTTTTATTCAGTGTTCGGGTAACGCCCCAGTTGGATCTTCACGATAGCGCGCAAATCGAAGAGTCTACATCCCAAGAAAAGCCAACGACCACCGAAGGAGGTACCAGCGCACACACATCCATACTCTCCCAGTGTGTTCATGCCGAACGCCTGCGCTTGCCGCCATCCGAAACAATCATTCCTCGTTCTTTCCCCGTTCCTTTCGCCGGCATTTTGATGACGATGCAGTTCTGTTGTCCCATCTCTCCCGCAGGGTTGATCCGAATAGGCCGGGAACTCGAACCCTTCAGTTGACAAGGGTGCTCCAGACCTCGGAACGAAAGACAAACGCGAGGCCGGTAGCTTCAGCTGCTCTCCTTTCGGCTGAACCGAACCGGCGTTGACCGCGCCGCCACCTTCTGCTTCGACAGGCACGCAGGGCGAGCGGTGGAAGGCTCGCAGCAGCGTCGACAAGCGGTGGTTAAGGAAAGGGGGTGTGCCAGGCGGCAACACCATGCCGGTGCTCACGTTTGTTGCTCGGGTGATGGACGGGCTCCTGCTGGTGAGGGGCGCTTGGTTATCATTGGTCAAGTCTTTTGGCTGGTCGGGGTACTGTGTGGGACTGTTCTTACACGTTGCAGAATGGAATACTGCGGGTTCCAGGGGTGTCAACTTCGTGGGTTGCAGAACTATACTGCAGGCATATGAAGGTCAATCGACTTTACCCTAAACGGTAAATCGTCAACGGAATATTTCTTGTGTCATGTCGAGTGAAATGAAGAAACTCGTGGACATGAACAAGTACGACATTTGATGTACCTGGTGCGATCCGTTTCAGGCTCTTCACGAGGTAGGTCAACTTCGCTCGAAAATCGTGTTGTTCGCCTCTTTGCAAAGGTTGTTTAAGTAATAGTTGGCGGGGGAGGGTGGTCGCGATAGACTCTTGAGCTGGACAGCACACACATTACGTTTGTTTTACGGCGTGCTTTGCGGTGCAACTTTTTTTTAAGGGTAAACGGTTGTCTTTCGGAACTACTCAGGGTTGTATCATACGCCAATTGCATCTCTGCCCACTCCCTCGCTGTTTCGATTTGTGGGAAATGTCGTGCGTAGGTGGCGTCGATGGACTCTGGATCGGACAGCGCAGCCACGGTGGATGTGTGCCGGAGCCAGGCGAAGCAGATCCTCAAAAGACTCAACCCGCGATCGGTGGCCAAGTGCAGCATCGAATCGCGGCCCTATGTGTTTCAGTGAGAACTGTTCCAGGCATTTTCGTCACCTCGCAGGGTTTATTTTTGTTCCCAGTTTTATCTGTCTACCCTACGGTCTTGCCGACCTAAGTGAAGAGCTCCGAGCGGGGTCCGCGGAGAAAGGAATTCCTCTGGGTTGCAATGCCTGAAACCTTCTCACGCGAGAAGGTTTCAGTCATGCCTCTGTATGTGTTGTATGCTTGTGGTCGCGAGCGGTGCATTGCTGCTCGAAAGGCGTTTCCAACCGTGCATTCGGAACATGGTGCTACGACGGCGACTACCCTGTTGTTTGTTTTGGCGTGACTCGCAAGACATACATATGTCCTTGTGTCGTTTGCTGTGCGTAGCTTTACGGCGCCAACACGCAAGTACTGGGCGCCTAGGTGACTTCTCCCTTCTTGGGAGGCAGCATGGCCTCTCTCTTCATCGCTGCTTGGCGAGGTTTGGTTCTTCACGCTTTTCGCCTTCTGACACGCTATAGTCGCCTCTGATTCCCACCTACGTGTCGACGGTGTTCACGTAGCTAGTAACCCCCCTCCCCGACCCATGTTTTTTTCGGTGGCGTCAGGGTAATTTTACAGCAGTTGCTGACATGATCCAGGGTTTATCAACTAACTCGCCCGCTTTTGGTTCCACGACAATATCGGTAACACCAATCAAGAGACCTCACAAGTCCACCCAACCTTGTGTTTGCACAACCAATAAACCCGGCAGTTACATGATCGAGCAGGGTATCTGCTACCTAACGCTGGCAGAAAAGGGCTACCCAAAGCGGTTGGCGTTTCTGTACCTGGAGGAAATCCACCAGGAATTCGTGAGGGAGCTGCGGCAGGACTACGGGGAGGACTGGCGCAACAAGGCAAGCAAGAAGACCATCAGCCAGCAGTAGCTCTTGCTCGGAAAAATACCGCTGCTTGTCATCGTTGTTGTTGTTTTTCGTCTTGTCCTTCCATTGTAAGTGCGATTCCGACCTTCTCTCTCTAGTCTGCATACTTTCAGTTTCGCCGACCGGCGGCGACGTGAAGATTCATACCGTTCGACGTTGCTGGCGCTGGCGGTATCAAAAAGGATTTCTTGCCCCCTGTCTTTCGTTCAACACCGGGGCGTTATTCCTCTGGTTGTAACTGCCAGGTGGAGACGGCGGCCCGACCTTACGCCTTCATCAAGTTCGACAAGGTGTGAAGAGTGAGGAGCTGGCTCCTACTGATTTTTTTGGGTCTTGTAAAATGCTAACAGTACAAATTTGTTGTTGTCGTTGTTGTGTTTTCTGTTGTGTTGCAGAACATGGTTGCAATCCTTCCGTAAGCTTGCTCGAACCCGTAGTATAAGTTCACAATAGTGTTCTCTCGTCCGTTTTTTTTTGTCTGCTTCCGACACGAGAAGACTTTTTTTTTTTTGTGGGGTGCAACAAAACTGCGTTCCCTTCTCTACCGGGATCTGCGTTATCGTTCCTGCGTAACTCCTATCCCCCCACGCCCCTGCCTACGTAGTACATGACACACAGGAAAATGCTATTTCTGTCTGGTAACAATCGTGTGAACGGCCATTTCTCGAACGTGGGAATGGCTCCGCTGTCCAGACACCCGGTCTGATGGTCGAATCTTTCGGAGGCGAGCAAAAGAGGAGTTCACGTTCCACCCACACCCACCCCTTGCTCTTTTTTTTTTTTCTCCTGACGTATGAAGCCCTCCTAAACCAACGCTGGTCCTGCTGCTGTTACAGCTGCGGTTGCTTCGTGTTGCGGTGTGTTGGCCCACATGTTGTCGTCCTGCTGTTGAAACGCACTGCTGCTGCTGCTGCTGCTTCTGCTGCTGCTTCTGCTGCTTCTGCTGCTGCTTCTGCTGCTGTGCTGCTGCTGCTGTGCTGCTGCTGCTGCTTCTGCTGCGTTGTCGATCCCTGGCAGGTTATCCAGCGTAAGCGAAAGGATTTCCTCGACCCGCAGAGCAGAAACAACATGGCGAGACTCAACGACGACCTTGCCGACATCCACAGCATCATGAAGCAGAACATCGAGGAGGTTCTCAACCGAGGGGAGAAGCTCGACCGTGAGTTCGCCCAGCGTTTTCGTTAGTCCTGGCGTATTGGTTTTGTGCCGTTGCGGGCGCGCCCGTGGCCCGACGTGTGAAGGGGTTTGCAACTGAAACAGACGTTTTAATTTTGAGGCACCTGGAGGGTTTCGTGTTTGGCCTTAAGGCCGTTTTCATCGTGGCTGTTTTTTCCAAATCTCCAAATTCCAAACATTTGGAAGTCATAGAAAACTTTGGCAATTTTCCAGAAGTTTGGAAGTGACCAGAAGGGCCCCAACCCTTAGGAATGGTAGCTTCCAAATTCTTGGAAAGTTTCCGAAGTTATTGCCTTCGAACTCGCCGCGCAAAGTTTCCAATTTTGGAAACATTCCAAGTATTTGGGAAAAACGTACTCTGTTTAAAACGGCCCTTAGACTCGCGGTTTTCTCGTGTCCTGGTCGTTTTTTTTACTTTTGTTTTTCGTCCCCCCCCCCCGCCTGCAGACGTTTCGGAAATCTCGAAGACGTTGTCGACGCAGGCGGAGCAATTCAAGTGGAGCTCGAAAAAGCTGTCCCTAATGGTGAGATAGCCGTCAGATGTATAAATCGCTGAGAAAATTGGTTGCAGCAGGCTGAGCTAGGAAAGGCGACAAAGAAGGACGTCTCCTCGGAATAGTCGTTTTTCCTGCAGCTCGTTGCTCGATTCAAAAAAATTGACATCTCTCGTCTCTTGAAATCGTTGTTTCCCGCAACTCTCCCTACTGCTTGCTGTCCCACAGCGGTACAACAGCGTCAAGGTTTGTCGCGATCTCGAAATTGTTGGGCGCTTGTAGGAGCGGTGGCCACCCGTTGCTGTTGCTCTTCCCTTCCCTTATATTTCCTGACACTCTTCATCTTAACCACACTCTCCAACGCTCACGTTTTTGTCGCTGCTGTCCCATGATGCGCTTGCTGCTTTCCCGGTGCTCATCAGGCATTTTGGCAAAAATACGGACCGATTGGGGCGATGGTGGTAGCAATACTTTTCATCTTGTGGTGGAAGTTTTTCTGACCTTTTTTGGAGTGGTGGAGGGAAGGGGGTAAGTGGGAGGGGAGGATCTCTCGCCCTCTGTCCGAACAGTTTTTTTTCTTGAATTGCCAGCAGACCTCGATTTTTGTTCTGTCCTTGTACGTGTAACGATGAGGAGATTGGGTAAGAAACAGCAGTTGGTCGTTATCCGGTTGGTTCCGTGGCTTATTTGGTGTGCGGTTTGGTTCTGAAGACAGCTAACTGCTAGTGTTGCAGTTTTTTGTATCATTTTTTTCGTTTCCCCTGCCTGTTCAGCCCACGATGTGGTCGCTGCGCGTCATGTCTTGAATAGCGCACACTACTGCAAAGTAGACGGACCATACAACCCGTCAATGCGTACGATAACGCACATGTGCGCCGGCAACGACCTACCCCGCCCGCAATAAATTCACAACCGAACGCTTCCACACCAAACCACGCCACACAAGCATGTTGACTGTTGTCTCAAGAAATGACCTCAAAGCGTTGTATGTGTCGACGAGTATCTGTCGAAATGGTCCCGAGATTCTCGTGTAGGTTTGGCAGACACTGCTTCGTTTTTTCTTTTGCCGGGGATTAATGTACGGTATGATGCAGCTCTGCAGCCAACCTTTGGACAGCGGCCGGACTGTTCTCAGCTACAGCCAAGGACCTTTTACTTTTTTCTATTTTCTTCTTTTTTCTTTATCAACGCAACACTATCTAGAAAAAACACGCGCCTACCCTCGCAGTCGTGCCATACCAACCCGGGTCATTTTTGGGACGCTACTGGTTCGACAGCAAGGCCATTTTTTGACCTCCAAAATACACACAAAAAAAATCCCCGACAATCGAAAGCGAATATCAGGGGAAGAAGGGGGAACGACACAGGAAGAAGCATACGCCGCAAAAGCTATCGTGTCCAGACGTCCAGACAGCTGACAGAGCCTCAAGCTTGTACAAAAATGCCATTCGTACATATAGGAGCTCGAAACCACGCATTGGTACCTTCTTTCACTTTCAACCAATCTCTCCACGATTGTTTCAAAAAGACAAGAAGCCCGGCGGTCGGCAACTACCTTCATGGGAATGCCTCCAGCCCACCAAACAAACCCCGAGTTGCGCGGACACAGCCGCAACCAAAGATTTGCGACAGAAAAAACACGTTCTATGATAGGCATCCGTAGGAGCTCATCTCGTGCATACATCCCAAAGTGCCATGAAAATACCATGGTATTGATTCATGGAAAAAGAGCACAAAATGGCAGCAAGCTTGAAAAATTGTAAATCCGAAACTACAAATGCCGCGGCGCGCCCGAATCGATCGAACGATGTCATGTCCAATGCGTGGGTACTTCCGCAGTACTTGCATGACATACACAGCAGGGCTTTGGCACAGGCAGCCCCGCCTCTTGCACGCATGCGTCCATGTGCGAGAACACGACTGACTGCTGTGTACGCCTCGACTCGCGAACGACTCAAGCCCGCTCGGTCCCCACACGAGAGCCTTCTAAAACACGGCGCGCTCCAGGCGTGTCCCCTTGTGCTCCACTGCACGAAACGCCAGCTTGCCGGGACGCAAATGACACTTGTACTGAAATAGACAAAAGATGGGTTAGATCTGACAACGACGCGGTTCGTTCACTCAGACGTCAGTCACTACATGGACGGTGCCTGAGGAGCCTTGGAGTAGTCCGTGTTTCCCTGTAAGCCCTCCACGAGAGCCTTGAAATCAGTCGTGACCTCTCCCTTCGTCATAAACGGGACGCAAAAAATCGGGGCCGGGGGAGGGGGAGAGGGGGTTGAGGTATGGCTCCCCGCCAAATGGGAAAGGGGTGCTTCGGAAATACCAGGGTCAAAACAGTTGTCAATGTGAGTGTGGTCTACCGGAACAGTCGCGCTGTCAGGGTTGCAGCTGCATATTCAAGTGCTGGAACAGCAGTTCTACCTCTCCTCCATCATTACCCCGCGGAATACTACAAACTGTTGTCAAAACCTGGCATTTGTCGCACTCAATACTCCATACCCTCGCCCCTCTCCTCCTCCCCACACACTCACTGTACGAACAACACGAGTAATTTACCTCTCCTTCTTCATTGCTGGCTACATCGAAAGACCGATTTTTCGCGGCGTCGATCTCCAAGCACTCCACGCAGAGCTGAGCGGCACGACAAAATAGCAGAACCAAGGGTGGTCACAAACACGGCACGCGTAATGTAGGGTGTGTGAGACGGGGCAAAAACGTAGTAGGTCGAAGGGGCGCACGGCGAGCAGCACGATCGAAACCGAAGCGGTCAAACGGGTTCAACGTCGAAGAGGAGAGTACGTGCATGCGAGAGCGAGACGTCGTCGAACGAAAGGAGTCTCGGCGGAGGAGCCGAGCCGGTCAACATAGATAGCACCCTAAAATCAATGGATGGGACAACATCACACGAACGCATAGAAACTAGAAGGTGGAGAGAAAGTTTGGCGCGAAGCTTGTTGCAGTTGTTGTTTTCACACTAAAAAACGTTCCGTTCTCTCTACCCAGTACCTTTATCTGTCCCTACTAGTCTTGACGCCGTCGATTCCCGTGGCCACGGCCTAACTTACCCAAAAAATACTGGAGTCATGAATTTTTCATCTCGTACCATAGACTATTTGTGAAAAAATCGTTCGTTTATGAGTACACACGCTTGACGTGGGGAGTTGACAATACATGTCGCCGTGAAAGCAAGGCATGCATCACGGAGGAATCATTCCGCGTGAACCCCTATCGGATAGCTTCGGTTGAAAAGGCTAAGAGTCTTAGTGCGAGCAACTATAACGCAAGGTAGGCGAATATTGGACAACCAGAAAAAATCGTCTCCGCTCACCTGTGCGACGTCCGCGCGCGGGATACTCCGAGACTTCCTCTCGAGCATCTTGTCATCCGTGTCAAGCACCAATTGCCGCTTGCCTCCCTCCTTGTCTAGGAGTCCCCCCGGGTGGATGATCGTGTACGTCATTCCGGACGCGATAAGGTACTCCTCGGCCTTTCTGCTCTCCACGACGGGAGGGGGGGGGGGGGGGGGCGATGGACGGGCGGATGGAGGGTGTGTGTGGAAATGGGTGCAGGAACCAGCCGCTGGATGACCCTTCTTCACAGGGAAAGGACTTGAAACATATCCCCGGCTCTCGGGCGCCGATTCCTCTGTGGATACTTTCCTACCCAAAAGCTCTTGTTGATTCGGTCCAGTCAGACCAACCGACTCGACAAATAACCACCTTTCCGCGCTGTTTGTGGAACGTTCGGCGCTCGGTCATGATTATTGGTCATTAACCGCAAGCGGAGAAACTTGAAATTGAGGGGACGCCGCCGGATCCGATACTCAACACCACAAAAGGCAAGCGCTTGTCCTAGCTGACGTGTGGCAATCAACCGTTTCCTGCCACAACGCCGAACTTCGTATCTACCTGGCCCGGGTTGATACCAGCCGACCTTGGACTACTTGAAGAAACGTCTGAATGGTTCTGAGCGCGTTCTGTCGCAACAATGGCGACGACGACCCACCTCTTCCACAACAGTATGTCTCCGCCGGTCCCGTCCTCCTGCTTTCCGATGGTGTTGAGGAAGTTGTCCGGCTGCGTGCCCCCCATGGACCCCACGTACACGAAGTGCTTGACGCCGGCAGCCTTGGCGGCGTCGATAAGAGCCTTCGCGCCTAACCAGTCCACCTGCCCCCCCCCCGCCCCCCGCGACGCGAGCAGCCGGCCCATCATGGAGTCACACAGCAACAGACGTAAGGCAGCACAAAACGTAGGGTGAGATAGGATGGATACGCCATAAGATATCCCGGCATCAGCACATGCCCCCTCAACACACCATCTCTAGAAGTTAGCAAATGAGGTCGCACGGACACCTCTGAGACGGAGGAGCAAAGGAACAACAGGGTCACCGCGGCCTCAGTCCATGGGCTGAACTGGTGGTGACGAACAAGGGTGAGAGGAGCGAGCTCAAAAGGACACAGGGGTCAGTCTCATTCTTCCGACCCAACAGCCAAGGGTAGGGAGACGCACGGACGATAACCCGTGATACGCAAGGTGCCTTTCATGAGCAATGAACGATAACCCGTGATACGCAAGGTGCCTTTCATGAGCAATGAGCGACGCAACAACAGTATCACGCAGGGGCGACAACCAAAGAAGAAGTGTCTTCGTGCACACAAGCGACGTACACCCGAGGTGCACAAACACATGGACAAGTGCATCCAAGGCGTATCATACAAAAACAAGGCCTCTCGCGTTCGCACAATCTACCGCTGGGTGCAACGTAACGGGGAGCGGATGGCTGAAAAGAAGACTAGACACGCGTCCAGGAAACGTGGGCAATGAACCAAAACAAATATTGTTCACAATCGATGTTTACATTGCACGGTGCGTGGAACCAACGACTTTTGTGAAACTCCGAAATGTCACGGCGTGGCAAGTCCTCTCAAGACCAAAATGTAACAACACTGACTGAACCACTACAAAGCCGCACTCACACATGCCGTTTTTTTTCTTCTTAGTACGCACCTCTTCCGGAGTCCCGTTCTCGCACCAGTAGAACTTGGGCCTCCCCGGGTCCTCCGAGCGAAGAATCATCTTCTTGAACATCACCTTCGCGATCGAAAACGGGTAGATCTGTGCCACAAACGGCCGCGGGCGCGGGGTTGGGGTGCGGAGCCCGCGAGAGGGGGGCGGGGGGTAAGTCGGGAACGTACACGGCCTCAAATGCATGCTGAGATACCCCCCACGAGTTCACACCGTCGCAGAAGACCCCGAGGGTAGAGAGCATCGGGCGAACTGTATGATATTGGGCAAAGCCAAGGGACCAAGCGCCAAGAACCGTGGTTGATTCGGCGGGTCAGTCGGGCGGCACTCTGCGCTAGCGCGTGGGACTACTCTAGGCTGGAGAATCCACCGTGTGCCCCGAGAGGACAAGGTTCGCGATAGTCAGCGTGACTACACCACCACGAAGCGACTCTCCAACACGTTCACACGTTCTATCGCTGCGGTGGGAGTGAACTCATCGAGCCACGACGGTGGCCGGATCAACATCTGGTGTGACGAGTATTTAACTAGCAGACGAGGCCAGCCACGTCGCAGGGTAGTGACGGAGAGAGAGAGAGAGAGCGAGAGAGAGAGAGAGAGACAGACAGACAGACAGACAGACAGACACAGACAGACAGACAGACAGACAGACAGACCGACCGACCGACCGACCGACAGCACCTGGTTGCACACGTGTTCATGCAACAGCTATGCACTGATACCATTGCTGGAAAGGCACTGCTGCCGTCCAAGGCACCGTCTACCTCACGTGTCGCGCTCAAATTACCTTCGGAACGGCGCTGGTGCACAGCACAACTGCCTCCATACCCTCCAGGGCCGCCGCCAGCAAACCGGGAGTGGCCAGGTCCGCGATAGCAATGTTGCTGTCCAGGACCTCGACCTTGCACTTCTTCTTGAGATTGTTCGCGCTCTGAAGCGGGAGGCAGGGCGGGGTAGCAAGGAACGCAGGACCAATCGGCAGAAAAAGGGGGCAAATGCCACCCGAGCGAGGTAGAAAAGTTAGAGCAATCCTACCGCCGCCATCATCGTGGTCGTTGAAAAGTCACATCAACTACTCTCTATATATATGTCTTTCGGTGTGTACTACGTGCTGCACAGATCCAAGGACGGTGGCGGTAAGAATTTTTTTATCCTCATATCCATGGATGCCACTTGAGAGTGCCCTGAGCGCATCAAGCTCGTTCTATAGTGCACACACGGCACGCCATATCTCGAGAAAAACTTGCTTGGGAGTCTCGTTTGCACATACGCGAGGGAAGGGATTGCTGTACCCTTCTCGCGATAAAAATACCTCAGGCATGAACCGCAGGAGGGGGTCCAGCCCCCCCCCTCCTATGTGACCCCGGTTGGGTCGTCTAGCTATAGTAGAAGTGGAGGATAGGGGCCAGTGGGGCAGACGACAGAGTCCAATGATGGGAGAAAAAAAAAAAAAGACCGGCACCATGGTCGCCATTTGCGTATGAGATGGACGCCGGGATTCTGGGTGAGGGCAACAGCGCGTGAAATGCGCACATGCCTCCTGTGACTGATTCAGTAAATTTTCGTGTTTTTTTCTCTCCAAAGAAGAAATTATTTTTGCGACCACGGACCGAGTCTTGGTTAGATTTTGGAAGTAGCAACCGACACCATTGGAAATGAAGACAACAACAACAACGATCAAACTGTTTTGTGCACCCTGCCGACCCATGTTGACAAATTTCACAGCCGGTGGTTGATATGCGAAACGCCTTCGAAAGTGCTTTGCTTGACCAAGTCCTGGGCCATACGCGCTGAACCATCACGCTGGGATGTCTGTGGTAGTCGGAACCAAGCAGCAGGCCACCAAAGATATGATGCTGCCGCAGACACGTTGAAATAAGAGGGGAGGTTCAGCGAAAACTCGTCAACGGTACCGTGTGCGAATGTCCCACACCTTTTCGGTCCGAACCATGCCCTTCGTGGCATAACCCTCCTTGGCCAAGAGCTTCTCGAAAACGATACCCCCCGTGCGTCCACCGGCGCCGGTCACCAGCACTCGCCTAGCGGTGCTGGGGGCACCTGCCTCTTCCGCGGACATGATGACGCTGCTGCAGCTGCCAGTCCGATGGTTGCTTACGTGGTTCGAACCTGTTTGGCTGCGGCGCAGGGAGCAACACCAGCAGCACCCGGTTGCAGTAGGGTAGAAACCAATCGACGCTCATCAATCGGACACAAGCGAGCATCACTCACGTCTCCATGCCCCATTGTTACATACGGCTGTACGACAAGCGTGGTGCGTTGGCTGGCAGCAAGTAAGGCTTGAAGCAAGAATTAATAGTCGGCATCGACATCATTGCATGTCACGTTTGATCTGGGATACCCACGAGATGCGAAGGCAAAAAAAAACGAGCTGACACCAACACCGTCATCTCCCCCTCATCTTCTTCAGCTGTATCTTTCCACCAGAGCTATGAACGCCGAGTACCCACGCCAAGGCAACTGCTTCCAGGAGGACAGAGGCGCAACACCCGCAACGAATCTAGGCACACCCATGATAATAAGCAGACCCGAGATTCATGCCTCACACCTTGCCACCGTCGTCGCCAAGCCTGCCGCTAGAAAGAAGCCTGAACTAACACGTACGGCATTCACCACGCCCACCAACGCAAGCCCTCTGCCACGTGTAAGCATTGCTAGGTGTTGTTGGTGAATATCTGCCTATTTAGTTGGTGTTGTTATTCCAGGCTGAGGGGCTCCGCGGTCGTATATATGCTGCCGTCACTGCCCCTCCGCAGTCCTTGTCTCCCACAGCAGTGATTTGGAAACCAGAAACCAACCGCAGAAGGCCAGCGACAGCCGTCAGAGGCCTCCCGACTTTTGCACAGCAGTACAAGCTTCGCACAGCAGCAGCGACGTCAAAGAAGGAGAGAGATGAAGGTCTACGTGCACTTCGAGGAGGGGAGTGATGCGGAGCTACACGTGACGCTGAAGCTGACCCTGCCCAAGAAGTGGAACGACGAGTCTCCGGTCAGGCTTCTCAAGGTACTGCACGATTGCTCCGAGATGCAAAGACCAGCGCCGCAGTGTACACAGCAGGGCTGCTGGTGATATTTCTGAACCACCCGTGAGGGCCAGGTTGTGTTGAAATGAAGGGCAAAAACTTAGAGGTTCGAGGCGGTGCGATGAGAGAGACTCTGTTGGGATGTTGTGTGGCTTCGGCAACAAGCTTCGAGAAAAGAAAAAGATCTGTGCGTCGATCTGTCCGGGGTTTCAAAGCAACCAACACGCACGTGCGGCTGCTGCTGTGTATGTACCACCAAGAGCGATTGGCGAATGCACGAAGAACGAATGGACAGAGCTGACATATTCTGTACTGCGGGCGGGCGCTACCCTGCTGTCAATAACCACTGCCTAAGTAGTGCGAGAAATCCGATACCTTAGGATACTTAAGATACCGCACCCCCTTGCCTGACCGTTTTTCAAAGCTCGATTACTCTGCTACGAAAAACAGCTATCATAGTGACGGTGCCAAACAACGCGGCGTTGGAACCGTCTCTTCGAGAGCTTTTCGGAAATGATGTCATTTGATCGTGGCATCCTCTTCGTCGTGGAGCATGCGGGCCTTGAAAATCGGTGCAGGGGGTGTGGTATCTTATGCAACATACGCCGCTGCTTGTACTAACCTCCCGTCCTCCACCAAAAATAGGTCAACACACCGTAACTAAATTTTCGCGAAAAATCTTGTCGAACGTTGTTGGGTGTGGCTGTGTATGCATGTGAAAAACACGGGCACACCACACAGAACAAAAACGACTCACTCTTGTGTGTGTTTGTGTTTTCGTCCTGTTTGTGATGGCGACAGTCCCCCCATTTTTCGTGGTGAGACGTGTACTACACTTTTCAGTGTATTTTTTCGTACAACTACAACCATCCAGGTTCACAAGAGGGGGTAAACACCAGGGCTTTTTTCTTCTTTTTATTTCTTTTTGCATGCCCCACGTTCCTCCTGCGGTGCGTGCTGAAGTTTATTTTGATCGCGAGAAGGGCCCAGCCGTCTCTTTCCCTCGTCAACGGTGCTAACGTCGAAGTTTGGTACTCACGATAGCTTGTCAGCCATATTTCGCTTTCACCCGCAAAGTTTGTCAATTTTTCACCCCATGGGGATTTGAACTCACGACCTCTGCGACTAGCGGATTACGAGGATACAACTAGACCACCGGGGCGACCGATACTCTAAAAAGCTACCGACTTCGGCCGCGTAAAACGCACTTAAACACGAGTATACTCTCACGCCCTCTTTGTCTGCCCCGCTGCTGCTGTAACGAGTACCCCTTTTCCTCTCGTTCATTTGTCGTGGTCTCCAACGTGATGATCACCGCAGTCTTAAACCCTCCCGTCCCCGCGTGCCGTTGCTCACCTAACAGCTTTTCATCGACTCGTACAACAAGCGAAAGCCCGACAACCAGCTTGACGTCGACCAGTGCCACCTGGAGACGGGGGCGAGCTCGGACCAGGGGGCGGAGCAACAAGAATTGACCAAGGGAGACACGATCGGTGCAACCATTACCGACAGGGCGGACGTGTATGTGCGGCCGGGAGCAACGAAGGAGGGGATGGGGGCTGCCGCTACTGCCGCCGCCGCCGCCGCCGCCGCCACCACCGCTTCGGCGTCAACTGGTGAGAGCTTCGAGCTTTGCCCTCTCTCGTTCGCCGTTCGCCCAAGTGTGTACAGGGGGCCGCAGCGCGCCCTCGAGAGAACGGAAGATTGGTGCGGGTTAGGTTGCTGATGGCGGAACGGGGCATGTGTTGTCCCTGGCTGATACATGGCTTGGCTTCGTCAGTAGGAATCTTGTTGAGAGTGTCAGCTTGCCTGGTGTTACCTTGTTGGTAGGGTGTTCTTCTCCGAACCTTTTCACCTTTCTACCCGTGTTGCCCCTTTGGTGTGTCGTGGGAGAGAAAGGGAAAAATCCTGACTACGCCGCCCTCAAGGTTCACCCGCTGTTTTCGGGTGGTCGTGCTGCTGCTGCTACTGGTGGCGGTGATAGTGTTTCTTCCCGAAGACAGGCTTGGATCTCCCGGTTCGGCTGCAATATGGCATTTTCTTGACCTGTAGACCTTGAACCAATTCACCCTTGTGTTTGCTTCGGATACCCCCTGTTGTGCTTGGCGTTTGTCGCACCAACAGCTACGGCACCGAAAAGGGCAGGAGCGCTGAGGTGCCGGAACTTCGGGTGCAACCAGTACTACGACGAGGCAGATAACAGGTTGGATCCCCGATCCCTACCTCACCGTTCATTAGTCGCGACACTCCGGCGTAGTCGTTACGTGTACCGCCATTGTCGTCTGGACGGCAGCTTTCCAACCGTGCTCTGACAAGCCGGAGGTAAACACTTATTTTTCTCTGGCAATTATGACGTGTATACGGGTCATCCGTCAACACGAGCTGTTGTGCGCACTCGCAGTCATGGTCACCAGTCCAGTTCTTATTTTTGTTTTCTCCGCCCTGAGAAAGGTACCAAGCTTGGGCGCATACCCGAACATCTTGTGTTCGTCGGGCACTCCCCCCCTCCCCTCCGCGGCTTGATGGGAATGCGAGAGTCAGTCAAAAGTCAAGGTGCACAACAAGTAGGTGACGAAGGACCCCCCCCCCCCTCCATAGTTTTGTTGGACCCCCCCATTGAATCTGATGAGATACCGGCCTTACTCGGCTCATTGCTTTTGTGCCCTCTTCCCGTCGAACCGTCCGTCCGCTTCCCGGCGGTGCCAAAACGTGTTAAAAAAAAAAGCGACACGGCGTGTCGGTTCCACACCGGACCGCCCATTTTTCACGACACTCGAAAGGGTTGGAGTTGCTGCAAGAAGCGCGTGTATGACTGGGACGAGTTCGAGCAGCTCGAAGGTGATTTGGGTGTCGTGATGACGGCAGGTGGCAAGAGAGAGGGGCGGGGGCTCGTAGGACGGGTGAAGGGAAGAAGTTGTTCCATTCCCGCAAGTATTGGTATTTTTTCCCTGTGTGCCTGGGGGTATCTCCTCGTCGTCAAAGTCCCGTGTTCCCTACCCGACCCCTCACCCATCTTATCCCGGTCATCTTTTGTGTATACCTTTTCCTGTCTCACCTATCATCCCGATCCGACCCCGTTTGCGCGTACCCCGTTACACCGTAGCATACGTCCTGCTCTGCTGGTTGCTCTTACGATTGTTGCCCCCCCGACTCTTTGTTGTTGTTCGCGCTCAAGGTTGCCAGGCGGGGCGCCACAGCACGGTTGATCCCAAGGACCGCCTCCCGCCGAATCCACCCTCAGCAGAGCAGGAGGTAGCAGCAAAAGTGAGTCTCCATCTTGGCCCAGTCTACTACATACACCACGCCGCTATTTCTGTTTGAACACACGAATCGTAACCGTTGATGAGACAGGCTCCCGCCGACGTATCCCTTCGCCACCGCCTCTTCCACCGTCCTCTGTTGTCACGGGGTAACATGGCAATCCAGAGCCGTGCCCCGGCCCTTAACTCCCTGATTTGCCGTTCCCATCCACAAAACAAGTGATGATAACCTCCGATTAGTTCAAGTCCCGCCTGCTGCCTTGCGACTTGGCTCGCCTTAGCCAGCGCGCGCGCCAATCCCACGTCGTAGCCTTGTTGTCTGGCAGCGTGTCTGTTGTTCTGTTCGTAGCCTTCGTAGCCTTGTTGACTCGCCGCGTGTCCCGTTTTCCTGTTGGCCGAAAAAAACAGTGGTACTTCGTACTAGTGTTGTTCAAGTTTGAGGTTGATCGGTGCCTCCCTCCAACCCCACCGTCCCTAACAAACGTTTTTTCGACACCTACGTCGTCTCTCGATCGATCAGCCCGCGCCCGCCCTAAAGTCCATCGACAACTACAACGCCGAGAACCCGGAGGCGGCGACGGCGGCGGGGTCCGCAGTAAAGAGCATCACCGCCAAGAAGAAGTGCACCAGGAGACCCGACGGGACGGCAAGGTTTGCACAAATGGAGACATGTTTTTTTTAATCCAGTGGTGATACCTGGGGTATATATAGTACACCCAGGAGCCAAGCGTATGGACGCAACCAGCGAGAATGTTCTCGTCGTTGTTATGGTCTTAACAGGAGGTTTGTTGTTGTCGCCGTTGCTGTTTTTCGTAGTGATTTTGTGATTTTCAGTTGTGTTTGTTTCGTGGGTCTAGCGCTCGCCATTTGAAAGCTACCACCGCATCATGGTTGTTTTTGCTTGCCGGTTTCCTAACATATCCTGAGTTTTTTGTGTTGGATCTGTTTTCGTCACGATGGCTAGGTGTCGTTTCTTCCTTTTCTTCGAAACACGGGGTAGTTGCGCCGTGTAGTTTGTCGTTGTGATGGCGAGTGTAGGGTTAGCAAATTAACACCGTTGCTACAGCTGTGCACATCGTAGCAAACTATGTCTTTTTCCTTTCCTGTGTTGTATATTTTGGTCGCGCCCTGGAAGCTGTGCCAAGCCTCCCCGGCTGCCGAAGTTGACGTCTTTCTCTTTCTCTCGTGTTGAATGTGCTTGTTGCGATGCGTTTGCCCCGCTTACCGGCCACGTTTCTCTCAGCTGTGTGAACCTCGGGTGCCAAAAGGACTTCGTAGTGGCGGAAAACCAGCGTGACTCCTGCCGGTACCACAGGCTCAACCCGGTCTTCCACGACGGGGGCAAGCACTGGGGGTGCTGCCCCGACCAGGTGTGGAGCGTTGGTGGTGTTGGTGTTTTTGTTGGAGCATAGAGAAGGTGGCTCTAGCGGAACAGGCACGCTATGTATCGTGACAGGCATGAGTGAGCGTAAGTCGGTCTCACGGCCTGAGGTTTCCTGGCGCGCTTTTTTTCCATGTTGCGCGCACGTTGGATGCCCGAACCCGGGCTCTCGGTTGCATGCACCAGAGGTACGTTGCTGACGTGGAGCGATGCATTCTCGAAACGAGACGATATATGTGTACAAGCTAAAAGCGCTGTTTCGTGCACTATTTTCGACACAGCCACCCTCCATTCGTGCCGTAGATCATGTTCGCCGTGCGTAAGAAAGGGGTGCACGTGTTGGGCACTGGCCATCTACTACACCCGATTCAAAGATGATCTTGAGTCTAGCGAGTACCGCGCCCGTGTTCGGCGTGATGGTACCGTATCCGTTTTTTCAAATGTGTGTACCCCTCTTTTCGGTAACACCTTCTACACCCGTTGCCGGAGAATCGAGCTCGGAAATCGAAACACTTTGTCGCACTCCTTGGTCAATAAAATATTCGAAAATACGGAATAGCGAAGGCTGGCCGGTGGTCGAAAAGAAATAAGAGTGTAGCGTTGCCGACGAAAATACCTGTCGATCATTTCCCCATAAAAAATTCTCGGTCGGGCTTTCTGCCAGAGGATGGGTATGTTGTGGGGTATGCAGGGGCGCGCTCTTTCGATCTCACCCCTGATGCGCACAGGCGTCCAAGAATGTACTGCACAGCACAATTTTCCTCTTGTCCTCCTTTTCGCCCCGATTGTATAGGGTAGGAATACAATGTGAGCGACGGTACTGCAGCAGTACATGGGACGGGAAAATAATATAAAAAAGTGTTTCTTCGTACTTGCCCGTTCACGCACCCCATCATCGCCCCTCCCTCCCTCCCTCCCTCTCTCTCTGCCACCCACAAATAACAAGGTGAAGTACGAGTTCGAAGATTTCATGGCGGTACCCGGTTGCTGTATCGGATTCCATGACGACGCCTCCGGGGAATTTTCCAACTCATCCCCTGGCGCTGCGGCTTGAATGAATTGTGAATGAAGGACGTGTCTCGGCCGTGTTATTGCAGGAGGAGCCAGGCTCATTCGTACGGAACGTAGAACGAAGCGGCGTGGGAACGGTCTATTTAGAGAGAGGGGCAGAGATCGACAAGAGGCAGAATAGGGACTGAAAAGAGGAGACCTTGTGGCTTCCAATATTTCTTATGGCGGAATGAGTGTCGGAATTCAGCTTCGTAAGCTGCCGGTCATGTATGTCGTGGTTGGCAAGCCCTGGAGAGGTTGCGCTGTCGTTTTGGCGGGGAAAGGCGGGTAGAGCAGCCCACTATCGTACTCGTAGGGCGAGTGCAGTCGTCGTCGAATTCGGACCGTGAGTGCCTCTAGTGCAGTGCAAATGTTCTCGTTTTTCGCACTGTCCGTGCCTACATCCAGACAGCAGTGTATGAATTATGGCAGAACTATCCCTGCAGCAGGAGAATTTGGAGACATCTTCGTGAAATCTATGTTTGACCAGGGTGGACACGTGGAACTTTCACTCCAATCAACAGGAAAGTAGCCCTAAAAGCCGCTTCCTTCGTGGGAGAGTTATCCCCGTCTTGAGTGCACCTTGCGGTGTGACGGCAGCGTGTAGTCTGCAAATGCGCGCGACTACCGCTGCAATGCGAAGCCGCAGATAGGAATCCCTCGATGCATGACGCCAATCCTTGATGGTCAACCTTGTTCTTTGGCGAACTGGAGGAAAAAAACATTCGCGTACCACATTTTACAGATGGCGTTTGATCTACAGTATGCCTCTGTTGCCCCAGTCGCAGAATTCGTGGAAAGACCATTTTCTGACTTCAAACTCGACGTCCATCGTGCATCCGTTCCCTCTTTTTGCTCACGTCAGTCATGTTCCTTTCCACCGTTAATACACTGTAGCTTATCATTCCACAGATGGTTCGACCCCGCAGCTCAGCGCAGTCCCCAGAGTGCGGGCAAGATGAATGAGCCTGACCTGGCGGTGGGTTAAACACTGGCGTATCATGGCAAGAAGCTGGTCAAGTGTCTTATCATGATGCTGGTACCATCAGCAAGGATTAGATTACGAGCTTGCGTTTTTCCCCCAAAGTTGATTCCGATTTCCGAATCAACGCGTTTTCCATGTCGGATTGCGATTTTTCGGGGCATTCTTTGGGTAGCGGGCAGATAGATAGGTAGGGGGGTGCAGTTTGTGCACTGCCGTCTACCTCTTGGGTGACCTCTTGTTTGCACACACCCCGATTTCACATCCCAAACCGAGCTACAGCAAGGTCTACAGACGGTTGACGGTTACACGCGTTCTATCTTTTCGAAATTTGTACCACACTGAGAACACCAAAGACTACCCGCGCCCCTGGTATATTCTCTGAGGGGATGTGTTAAGGTCTTTGCAACGAGAACGCAGTGAGACCTGCTGGGTGTGGGCTAGTTGAGTCCGTTCAAGTCCTTGACGGAGAGGCTAGTGAAGCAAACCGCCCCAAACTGCGGTGTAACCCTTCACTCTTCGGAGCAACAAATTCCGCCCCCCCCCAACCCACAGCCCCCCCTCCCATCCGACGAACCCCCCGCTGGCCGCAATCCACGGTCCACACGGCACAGGCCTTGCTTGTGGCTCTTCGGAGGCAACAGGGATAGATCTGCTGCTGTAGCGACAGGTCAAACCACTTGGCGCCAGACATGGGGTCCCTCAAGGGCTTCATGTCTTTGTTCTTGCTTTTGCTCTTGGCTGCATTCGCAGCCCCAGCTGCATCTTTGCCGGTGCCGGACAAGATCATGTCCCACATGATCGACCTTCTGCGCACCGCAAGGTGTCCTGCCCTTCAGCAGGCATGTCCGGAGGGTCAAGTAATGCTGCTGAAGAGGAATGTCCTCGGTGGGTGCACCCCCGTTGGCTGCGCACCAATATCTGGGGGCCTACAGGAGGCCATGGCGGTGAGAGCGCCCTTTATTATTTGGTTTGCATGGGTTGTTGTGTGGCATGTGTCTACACTAAAATAGTGTGTGGATACGCTACAGCAGCGGTGCCGTCTGGATCTACCGTGCGCTCCAAGCCTCCTCGCTAGTGGGATGCCGCGCCGCCGAACTTAGAGCTAGCACGAGCAACCAGCTTAGACCTTTTGTTATTTTCATGGATCCGTCCCGTATTCCAGCCACTACCCCATTTCTTCTCTCTCTTTCACCCCATCAAAAAGCAAGCGATCCTGAGAGAAAGAAAAGGGTGTAGACTAAACCTAACCACCACATTGTCTACATGGTCGATGTAGCCTTCTCACATCTATCTTCAGCTGTTTCAAAAGACACTTCATGTACCAGAAAGTGCTGTCTGCGCACGCACACGATTCTTGCGCGCAAGCGAAGCCTCCATGGAAGTACAATACCCCTACCCCTCCCGGTCAGTCCACTATTTTTGTCGCTCATCGGCTCTCCTCGGGCCAACCGTATCTACTGCTGTAGCTGCCTGTTGGAGAGAGTTTTTTTCTGGTTGTGGAAAAATGGGGACAGCCAGATCAAGAGTGAAAAATGGTACATGCAACGGATGTTGTGTGTACCTCTAAAACAGGATATGATGGACAAGTTCAATGCAAACCAGAGGGCATCGCGTTGACCTGGCGGCCATGATTGCGGGCGATCTCAATTAATCGCAGTGTAGTTACCACCATGGATACAAACGTGAAAAGTATGCTGGTGCAAGCTGCGCGACGCAGAACCAAGCAAGCGAGAGCTACCAATAGAAATGTAAGATATGCCAACGGTTCATCTGATACTTTCTGGTTCTCGCTGCTCGTTGCGCCGAAACGACGTCCATAGGGTGGAGACGAAGAATCGCTGCACGAGGCAGTGAGCTCGGTGCTGGTGGCTCAGCTCCGGGAGCAGCAGGAGCCCGGGCTTACGCTCCGGGAATTTTTCGACAAACGGCAGAGGGCATACAACGCGGTAAAAAGCGAGGCGTTTTCTTCGGTCGATCAGGAACGCTTGATTGCGTACCCTCATTACGGGCTGTTTGCAGTTTTCTCGAGTTGTGCACAGCAGCCAGACACCATGTACATACGTCGCCATCTCGCTTTTGAGAAACCCGATCGATGTGGCGAGTCCTCTTGCAGAGCAGTCACACACAAACTGCCGCTGCGCCACAGCGTTTCACAATTTTCTTGTTTGTGTTTCTTGTTCCCCCCCCCCGCGTTTTAGAGAAGAGTGAGGGAGAGAGGGGGTGGGGGAGAGAGAGAAATATAGTGCGATCTCCGTACCGTAGATTGTGTGGGTGGGTTCAGGATGATGTTCGCTGCGGAAAGAATGCCGAGGTTGGACCAACGACCTTCTCATCACAGCAAGAAGGCCTACAGCCGAGACTACCAACCGTGCGCTTGTCCGATACTCTCTGGCGAACGCGCAACAAACAAGAACACAACTACTACACAAACACACAAACCAAGGCCGTCCGCGAGAGAGAACAAGCTGACAAGATATGCCCCCCGCTGCCCGTCCCCCATTTTCCCTCTTTCCACGAAATTCACCACACCCGCAGGGGTGCAAGCTCAACAGGAGGGACATCGCCCGTATCCTCAAGCAGAACCCGGAGGACCGCGACCTTGACGCTCTCGCCGTCCTCCTCAAGGAGGCCCACTCTAAGGGCTACACCGGCAAGAAGGTCGACGATGGGAGGGACGCCCTCGCCTGGGGTTCGAATCCTGTCGAGGCTGTCTTTCAGCAACAGTCGGCCCTCCTGGAGGACACCAAGTGCGCCAAGGTCGCCGAGGCATGTCCCCATGGTTCTACTTCGCTTCTGGTGAAGAGGAAGTGGTTCGACCCTCGCGGAGGCTGTGCGATCACGTCCTGCGTTCACCTGGAGAATGGTGACGGAGGAGGGGGAAGAGCGCAAGACACAGCGAGCACTGTGGCTGAGGCTGACGGGAGAGACGAAGAGAACACGAGGGCGCCCGAAGCATCAGCCAAGGTGAGAAGAGAGATACTTTCTAGGGCGCTGTAGGAACATCGTACGTCGTAGTCGAAATCAAAACAGCGGAATTTGTTTTTGGCGGACGTATCAACCTTGAGGCGAGAGACTGGGTGGAAAGGGACTGAGTAAGACTACCGGCATGTTCTATCTACGGAAGGGAAGGGGGGTTAATCGTGTTTTGCTCGACTCTCAGTGCTTGTTGTTGCTGTTCCTGCTCGTTGTTATCGCTGCAGTGTGTGTGCCTTCAATTTCTTGTTGCTGTTCTCGCTTTGTCCTTCTTGCACTTATCGGTACGACTGTTGTCCCCATGGACTCTTTTCGTTGTTTGACATCGTTCGAAAGGGCTCCTCAAGGCTCCCGTGCTCTTTCTCACCCTTAAGGGCGACGAACCGCAACTGCTGTGCTACCGCTGTGACACCCGCCTATGCAGGGGAACGACGTCGCGATGAAGGCCATCGCCGAGAAGCTTGCCGAACTCTCGCAGCAGCACCCCGTGGGTTCCGTCAAGAAGGCCCTCGCAACGATGCGACAGCAGCAAGCGAAGGCAAGTGCACGACAAGGAACGTCGAAATCGGAGTTTTGTGCACCGTCGTCATACGTTCCCCTCCGAAGAGTGCGTGTATTTCAGTAAGACCTTCAGAAAGTCCAAACATTCCCGTTCGTCGATTCCAAACGGCAAGGTTCCGAATGCGTGTACTAGAGCATTGAAGATGTGTGATGCGGGGCTACCCGGGCACGGAACAACTTGGTGTTCCATAGTCTACATAGTACGCGTTGAACAAGATTCTCCCCCAGCTGAGTTAGTCGCTCCCATTCCTACTTTGGTCAAACGCCGGATGAACTTCGAGTTGGCTGCTCCTGTATTTTTTTCGTCACTATAGAATAGTGCTCACAGGGTAGTTCCAATCCGTGGCCGCAAAGCATGGTTTCTCCCCCTGAGGTTCCCCTACCCACCTCTCCTGCGGTGCCTGTCTTCGAAATTAAATGCGAGAAGAGTGCAGCACTTTCTTTCCTGAAAGTGATATGCATAAGCATGATTTCCATACTCTATTGTTCGTAGTCTCTTGAGTTCTCTGTGCTCAGTATTTTCATTCTACAATATTGGAGCAAAATGCGTCACAAGTACTACTTATTGTCGCCCCCCGAATAGTACTTGTCCGGTAGACCCCTTCCAGCTCTTAGCTCTTGTCCTGGTTCGGCATGGCAGAAGGGGTGTCTTTGGTATTCTTGTGCTACTCGAGGGGCGTATGGAATGAGGGGATGATCTACCCGCCTCGTTGGGGGGGGTACCCGGAACGACTGCCCCCCCCCCGTGACCCTCGTCCCTCCCTTGAATATGTCACGGGGGCATGGTTCTCCCGCATTCGTTGCTTGTCCATGCCCCCCCCGTGCGACTATCTCAATGCACATTAGGGTACGTAGTCCTCTCAGGCTGGAATGTAGCTTGCCTAGAGGCGGCAAGTACATCCATATATTGCACCGGCGTCACTCACGAGTCGGTTTCGCCACAGGCTTGGCGTCTGCGTTTTTACGGCGACCTAAGGTTTAAGGTCGCATCAGCAAGCTCGAACACAACACAGAACCACTGGACTCTATCCCCAACAGCGAAAGATCGCTGGATCAAGAACAAATCGTGGCAGAATTGAAGACGGCTCGTGTCCTCGTCATTTTTTCGTCGTGATTCCACCACGTCGATCGGTGTTTCTATTTCGCCCGGCAATTGCGCAAGCACGTAGTATGTTGTCGGTCGGCTTGAGCTTAGGTTCGTTTACCATACACTACGGAATTATGTCCGAGTGACTGACGTCTCCCCTGGTCGTATCCAGTACACCGCCTGATAGCTCTGCTTTGGCGAATCACGCGTAGGACTAACCAGCAGAGGCGGCAATTGAACCGGGAGGGGGCAGTTGATCGGCTTTTCTGGCTTGCTTGGTATGATGAGCTACGTCTACCAAGTCCGACCAATGAGAACAGAGGGCAGCCATAGTGTTAAAAAAGTATCGCACATGGCAACAGCAATAACAAGAGCAACGACAACGCCTGCACCACAAGACACGCTCACCCCCTCCGCCCGTGCCAATCCTTCCACACGCACTCCGCCGCGATGCCTTGCTTTGCGATCGCGCTGTTCCAGGATGAGAGCCACTGCAAGTACCTCCTGAAGGTCTTGCTCAGACCGGCAACGGTCCAGAAGCTCATCGAGCACGACTTCCCGGCCGCGACCTTCATCCTCGAGAAAGTCAACTACCTTGGCGTCTCTGGGACACTGGTGGACCGCGCCTCTACTGCTTCGCCGCCAACCACGCTAAGGAGACGGGTGTCCACGCCATCTAGCGCGTAGTCGAACACTTCTCCTGTGTGGGTGTATTTGGCGCAGGGAATGCTAGGTCGGCGGAGGGGCGGGTATCGTGCCGCCCCCGCTCTTCATGTACTCCATGATCCCCGTCGACAATTTGGTGTGTAGGTTCGCAGAGGGTATTACAAGGTGCTATCGTGCAGCGGGGTTGTTGTTCGCCTCAACGTTAAGGGGAGGAAAGGAGCCGCCCAGCGTTCACGAAGCACTGCTCAAGGGTAGCTATGGCTCCGAACCAAAACAACCAAAACATTGAACGGCAGTCTCGCACCCACCAATAGTGCAGTCCCTCACGATATTCCGTCCCGCCCCCACCCTCCGTCCCCTGAAGCACACCCGAAGATTCCAAGTCACGCTATTTTCATACTAATGATCGCGTACGTACGTACGTAGCGTATGTACCACCTGATTCGCGACCCCACGGGGGGTCATGTTTCGTCGTACTTTGTCATGTTTCGCCGTACTTGGAGGGTAGCATTGTCGTATGCATGCTAGCCATTGGGCGGTTGCTTACTTACGCGTCGTTTTTTATTGTTGGAGGTATCTTCGCATGTTTTCATTGTCCCTACTGCCGCGATCCGTGCTACTTGCCCGCAGGGAACCCTCTCCTTCCAAACTCCAAGCCTGGAGGACGCGCGTGGCTGCAAAGCTGGAGGTGACACGATATTTGCTACACTGCTAGTGGTGTTGTTGTGTGGGACTGTTTTCCCTTACCATTGAACCACCTGCATGCACTAAGTGTGCAAAGGCTGTGCACCACGCGCCTCACGCGAAGAACTAAATACACGTAATTCTGGATACGCACGGGGGACGATTGGTCACCATAATATATCGGGTGGCCGCCGGCATTGGATATACCTCTCTCTGTAAACCCGGTGTGGATCCTACATTTTTTTTGTTTTGATGACAGGCCCCATGCGACGGGTTGGCGAACGTCCACGAGGATACGTGCCATACATATCTACCATGCTTTGTCGTGCTTCAATGTTCTTTATGATTCTTGTAACGTACAGAGCTTATCGAGGGCGTCTCTCAAAGTCTCCACAATTGACATGCTCTCGACAACTAATTCACACATGATCAAACGGACGCCGATATCACACGTTGGACAAGCAACCTCGAAGTGCTCACTTCCTTGGCCGAGCCAGCCTGACATACGACTCTCTCGCCTCCTTTGCGTCTCGCCTGTCGCCACTGAGTTGAAGGACCCACCTCGCTCCAATTCATTAATCTTCATATGATGTGCCGGTGCTTACTTGGTGCATGTACGGACGCACCCCTCTTCTTGGGTAGGGCAAGGCTGCGACTGAAAAGGTCGAAATGATCCGAGAGCTGCAGGTGAGGTTAAAGTCTACCAAGCTCGAGGTAGCGGCGTTGCTCTCGACCGCTACTTCGCTTGAAGCGGAGCTCGCAACGGTCCGAGCCTCGCTCCAAGCAAGCCTCGACGTGAAGGAAGGCAAGGCGGCGGCGGCTGTCGAGCGAGCTAAGCGGGCCGAGAGGACCGTGCAGCAGCTCCAGCAACAGCACCATCTCCACCAGCAGCAGCAGCAGCTCGAGCACCAGGAGCATATCGAGCACGAGCAGCGCAAGCAGCACGAGCAGCGCAAGCAGCACGAGCAGCGCAAGCAGCACGAGCAGGACCGCGCAGTGTTCCAAGCGCAACTATCGTTGTGCAACAGCCGGGAACATTCGGCCGTGTCGAACGCTGCCTCTGTCCAGGCAAGCCTCGACGTGAAGGAAGGAGAGACGGCGGCGGCCATGGAGCGAGCCAAGAGGGCCGAGAGGGCCAAGCATCAGCTCCACCGCCAGCACCAGTACCAGCGGCGGCAGCTTCAGCAGGCCCAGCAACCCCAGCACCAGCAGCAGCAACAGCGGCACCAGCAGGAGCTCTCCATTGTTCGAGCCTCGCTTCAGGTCAGCCTGAACACCAAGAAAGGAGAGACGGCGGCCCCCGTAGAGCGAGCTAAGCGGGCCGAGAGGACCGTGCAGCAGCTCCAGCAACAGCACCATCTCCACCAGCAGCAGCAGCAGCTCGAGCACCAGGAGCATATCGAGCACGAGCAGCGCAAGCAGCACGAGCAGCGCAAGCAGCACGAGCAGGACCGCGCAGTGTTCCAAGCGCAACTATCGTTGTGCAACAGCCGGGAACATTCGGCCGTGTCGAACGCTGCCTCTGTCCAGGCAAGCCTCGACGTGAAGGAAGGAGAGACGGCGGCGGCCATGGAGCGAGCCAAGAGGGCCGAGAGGGCCAAGCATCAGCTCCACCGCCAGCACCAGTACCAGCGGCGGCAGCTTCAGCAGGCCCAGCAACCCCAGCACCAGCAGCAGCAACAGCGGCACCAGCAGGAGCTCTCCATTGTTCGAGCCTCGCTTCAGGTCAGCCTGAACACCAAGAAAGGAGAGACGGCGGCCCCCGTAGAGCGAGCTAAGCGGGCCGAGAGGACCGTGCAGCAGCTCCAGCAACAGCACCATCTCCACCAGCAGCAGCAGCAGCTCGAGCACCAGGAGCATATCGAGCACGAGCAGCGCAAGCAGCACGAGCAGCGCAAGCAGCACGAGCAGCGCAAGCAGCACGAGCAGGACCGCGCAGTGTTCCAAGCGCAACTATCGTTGTGCAACAGCCGGGAACATTCGGCCGTGTCGAACGCTGCCTCTGTCCAGGCAAGCCTCGACGTGAAGGAAGGAGAGACGGCGGCGGCCATGGAGCGAGCCAAGAGGGCCGAGAGGGCCAAGCATCAGCTCCACCGCCAGCACCAGTACCAGCGGCGGCAGCTTCAGCAGGCCCAGCAACCCCAGCACCAGCAGCAGCAACAGCGGCACCAGCAGGAGCTCTCCATTGTTCGAGCCTCGCTTCAGGTCAGCCTGAACACCAAGAAAGGAGAGACGGCGGCCCCCGTAGAGCGAGCTAAGCGGGCCGAGAGGACCGTGCAGCAGCTCCAGCAACAGCACCATCTCCACCAGCAGCAGCAGCAGCTCGAGCACCAGGAGCATATCGAGCACGAGCAGCGCAAGCAGCACGAGCAGCGCAAGCAGCACGAGCAGCGCAAGCAGCACGAGCAGGACCGCGCAGTGTTCCAAGCGCAACTATCGTTGTGCAACAGCCGGGAACATTCGGCCGTGTCGAACGCTGCCTCTGTCCAGGCAAGCCTCGACGTGAAGGAAGGAGAGACGGCGGCGGCCATGGAGCGAGCCAAGAGGGCCGAGAGGGCCAAGCATCAGCTCCACCGCCAGCACCAGTACCAGCGGCGGCAGCTTCAGCAGGCCCAGCAACCCCAGCACCAGCAGCAGCAACAGCGGCACCAGCAGGAGCTCTCCATTGTTCGAGCCTCGCTTCAGGTCAGCCTGAACACCAAGAAAGGAGAGACGGCGGCCCCCGTAGAGCGAGCTAAGCGGGCCGAGAGGACCGTGCAGCAGCTCCAGCAACAGCACCATCTCCACCAGCAGCAGCAGCAGCTCGAGCACCAGGAGCATATCGAGCACGAGCAGCGCAAGCAGCACGAGCAGCGCAAGCAGCACGAGCAGCGCAAGCAGCACGAGCAGGACCGCGCAGTGTTCCAAGCGCAACTATCGTTGTGCAACAGCCGGGAACATTCGGCCGTGTCGAACGCTGCCTCTGTCCAGGCAAGCCTCGACGTGAAGGAAGGAGAGACGGCGGCGGCCATGGAGCGAGCCAAGAGGGCCGAGAGGGCCAAGCATCAGCTCCACCGCCAGCACCAATACCAGCGGCGGCAGCTTCAGCAGGCCCAGCAACCCCAGCACCAGCAGCAGCAACAGCGGCACCAGCAGGAGCTCTCCATTGTTCGAGCCTCGCTTCAGGTCAGCCTGAACACCAAGAAAGGAGAGACGGCGGCCCCCGTAGAGCGAGCTAAGCGGGCCGAGAGGACCGTGCAGCAGCTCCAGCAACAGCACCATCTCCACCAGCAGCAGCAGCAGCTCGAGCACCAGGAGCATATCGAGCACGAGCAGCGCAAGCAGCACGAGCAGCGCAAGCAGCACGAGCAGCGCAAGCAGCACGAGCAGGACCGCGCAGTGTTCCAAGCGCAACTATCGTTGTGCGACGGCCGGAAACATTCGGCCGTGTCGAACGCCGCCTCTGTCCAGGCAAGCCTCGACGTGAAGGGAGGAGAGGCGGCGGCGGCCATGGAGCGAGCCAAGAGGGCCGAGAGGGCCAAGCATCAGCTCCACCGCCAGCACCAGTACCAGCGGCGGCAGCTTCAGCAGGCCCAGCAACCCCAGCACCAGCAGCAGCAACAGCGGCACCAGCAGGAGCTCTCCATTGTTCGAGCCTCGCTTCAGGTCAGCCTGAACACCAAGAAAGGAGAGACGGCGGCCCCCGTAGAGCGAGCTGAGCGGGCCGAGAGGACCATGCAGCAGCTCCAGCAGCAGCTCCAGCGACAGCTCCAAGAGCAGCAGCAGCAACCGGAGCAGGAGCAGGAGCAGGAGCAGCAGCTCCAGCCCGACCATCCCGTTGTGTTTCTGACCGAAGCCACCGCTGACCGAACGCCGGGGGTGGCAGAGGAATCCGACCTTCGTTCGCCCACCGGAGCTCGCCATGCCCCTGGTTTCCAGGAGACACCCAAGCAACAGCTGTCGGGAGTTACGGCTAAAGCAAGCGTCGTCGCCGACAAGGACACGCTGGCCGATGAGTTGGGACAGGAGGTGAAGCGGCTCCGAGAACAACTTCGTGAGCTGGAGGCGAAGGTAGGTACTTCTGCAGTGGGGCGGGAGTTGGGTCCGATCGTGGGTGTGTCGTGAGAAGGTATCAACACGGCATGGCAGCACGCAGTTCTCATCTGGTGATTGTATTCTTTTTGTCTTGAAGTGCATGACTCGCTTGGTCAAGCGCCCGCCTATGGAGTTCTCATGTACCAGCCCTTTGAAAAACCTGGATGAACGCCTTTGTTTCCACTGGCCGGACTTGAGAGAAAGCAATGGGCATTTCTCCACCTAATATTTCGTGGAGATGTTCTGGAGTTTCGCGACAACTAACCACTCAAGCATCAGGCCCCCAAGATTTTCCGCACTGCAATGCGTTCCTCTCTCCCTTCTGCTTTCCTGTCCACGCGTGTGTCGACGTGTTTGCGTGCCGCCCATCCATCTTCCCTTCCTTATGGGTTACACTGAAGCACAGCGCGGAGTTCAAACCAACGCTGCACGCCATGAGATGCTGCACAAGGAGGCTGACACCAAGAGAAGAGAAGGAGGCTGACGCCAAGAGAAGACCGTATCCGTGAGCGACGGTCAATGGTCTAACGACTACGGCATGCACGACTATGAGTACACCCCCCCCCTTCGCCATCCTGTCCCTCACTCGTAGTTCTATCCATATCTTTCTACCCGCACCCTTCCAATCCACGGCGAACAGTTACCTTGACCCCACACCCTGTCCACTGCCCACCGTCAACATGAACAATCAGACTCAGGTGTGCGAGGCACACGTCCTTTCGCCCGTGGGAGACGGCCAAGCCCCAGAGACGGAAGAAACAGAGGGGATCTGCACCCTGAACATATTGCTCGTTGCCTTAGGTACACAAGTTTTAGTCTTCGTTGTTAGGTACACACGTCATAGTCTTCGTTGTTTTCACTCTAATTCTGTGGTGGGAGAAGGATTATCGTGGAGTGAAGGCACGCATCAACGTCTTCTTGATCCAAATGTTTTACTGGTACCTTGTTTTTCCCGACCACGTGCTGTTAGATTTTCTGTGCAGAAGACCAGCAGCAGAAAGTGGAATTGACTTCGGGGTTGTAAGGGCGGTGAGGGACGAAGACGACTTTTTTTTTGTCTTGTTTTCGGTTCGGTTTCGACTTCAGGAGGGTGTTGTTGCGAGCAAAGGGCGGTACAAAGCATGTTGCAATGATGTTCTTGTCTGTGAAGGCAATTCACGCGAGCTGACTGGTTCGCCTCTCTCCAGCATGGCGGTCGCAGTCCCCGTCGTAAGGGGGAAGTTCTTTTTTGGGTGCGTGTGAGCTACTACTCAGGGGCTCCTCCTCGTTTGCTCACGAGTCTCTGTTTCAGGTCTGTACATTTTTTGCTTTTGTGGTGAGCGAATGGTTTTAGCCCCCACACGACGGGCGGGTGTTCAAGCGCAGCCCAACGTACTGCTTCTGCTGTGAGTGTTTTCTTTATGTTTTTATGGTCGAAGTCTCGGACATACCACACGAGCCTTCACGTCTTGTTGTATGGGGAAAATGTTTACTCTCGAGATCTGCCTATAAGAACTCGATTAATTGCACTCCGGATGGCAACTGCTTTCTTGTTTTTCTAGGCGCTGCTAGACGATTTTTTTTTTCATCGCGTGCATCATCTCACCACCGCACCCTATGCTGTCGTTGATCAAGAGCACGGACACGTGCGTATAATGTCGTACCCCTCGGTTCCCGCTCTAATTTGTTCGCCGTCCATCTCATTGCGCGTTACAATAGTTATGTGAAATGCGATCGCGTTTTCGATTTACTGCTGAGAATCTCTTTGGACTGATTAGTCTAACAATGTTTCATCCATTTCCACAGCGCGACCGAAACGTAGCCTTTTCAGATCTTCATTCACCGTTGACGTGCAGCAGCATGTATTTGTGTTGGGGTGTTGCTATCCACTCCTCCCCTTGCCCTAACTCCTGCAGGCCGTGGCCCCGAGCATATCTTTACGGGGGTGGTAGAGCAGGTTGAAAGTAGCCCGTTCGGACGCTGGCCACTTATACATGTAGACTACTACAGGATGCAGGAGGGACGAAACAAACGGCACCCATGCATCAGAAATCCCGAGTATGAGGTAGGTGTGGGCGTGTTCGAATCGGGATGGTGCAAAGAGGAGGAGGAATGGCTCTGTGTTGGCGCGCACATGGGTAAAGATCAAGCAAGAGCTGGACTACACAAGACTACAATGTATGTACAAGACGCAGTCATCAAGATCCAAAGATCCAAGATCCCTCTTCGAGCTCTCTTGCTCTTCGGGCGGGGGGCACTTTGCTGGGAGCCTTTGATATGGTGGGCATGATGTTTTTCGGTTCTTTGTGCGCTCTTTGCGTGCCCCCTTCGGCGTCCACCACCCGCCAACCTACCGCTCTCTCGGCTACACACACAGCACATCCTCGCTGCAAAGCCGAGAACCTTGCGCAATCATGGCGACTGAGGTGAGACTGGTCGTGTTCTCGTCGCCGTCAACCCTGTCGGTATCGAGGCGTGTGATGCTCGCGGCAGCCGTCGTTTTGACCGGATCACGACGCAGCAGCAGCACCAGCAGCAGCAAACCGGCAACAGCGAACAACAAGCCGCTTGTTAGCACAACTATCTAGAGCACCAGGATCTCAGTACCTGACACACGTCGGCCCTCACTACCACTCAGTGGAGGGTGTCTCGTTAGCGGTGTGAACTCTTAGGGGTTCCGGCGTCGGTGCTATCTGCTGGCTTTCTGACATAATACGCTGCCCTCCGACATCTGTCGGCGGCTTAAGTCTCCGCGTTGTGTAGCCATTGCCGGGCGGTCCTTGGGCTATTAGCCTGGTAAAGGTTGATCCTACCTTGAGACTTGATGCCACAACTGCTGTTCAGAGAGGCTAAACGTCTTACTGTTTTGCGTGTGGTGTTGCTGCCGTGCGAAGCCAGTTGATTCTGGCATTGTCTACACAGCCTCAGGGGGCCGGCAATTTTTTAAAGCTGACCGAACTTTGAATTTCCTGTAGATTTCACTGCAGGACATGTATAATATAGTACTGCTGTTGGCAACTTTGCAATCGAGCTGCACGGCTTGAGCTAAAGATTCTGTGTCTTAACAAGGAGTGAGCGTCGTAGCACGAACGATTGTGTCAGTGAGTTAGTCATGCCTACGAAATCAGGCGCACAGGTGTTGCGACACAAGCAATGTATTATTCCACAATACTTGACCAATAGATTATATACCTTTGTCTCCCTCGCCCTTCTGTCTGTGTGTTTCTCCGCTTTAGGCGGTGCTCAACGACAACGCCCAGGTGGACAAGGGCGACAACGCTCGCCTGAGTTCCTTCGTGGGCGCCATCGCCATTGCAGACCTTGTCAAGACCACCCTCGGGCCTAAAGGTGACAGCAGATAGAAACAGCCGTCGCGCGCAGCTTTTCTGCTACCCGCGATACCCTGTTGTATGCATTACAGGCTTTCGCCGTTGGTCACAAGAAGAACTGTGATCCGATCCGAGGTCGTGGTTTCTTCTCCGCGGTTTTCCGTGTCTCACTCCATCAATATCGTTTCCCAACAACGATAAACTGTGTCACTCATCGACAAAGTTTCGTACACCGTCAATCTTGCCACACTTGCCAGAGCTAGGCGTCCCTCTACCTGTGTTAGATAATTTTTTTACCAGAATTTGAGTGCTCCTTCTCGTGAAAAGTCCATCTGCAGCCGCGTCATTGGCCATCACGTTGCCGCTGGTTCGGAAAAATCCACGGTGCATTGTGCCTTTGTCTATTTAGTTTTCATGCAATAGTGTTGACTGAAAAACGATTTATGATATCTATGGCGCAAAGGTATGTACCACCCAGATATGCGTTAAATGCCACCACCTCAGCAGCAGTGGAAGCTCCTTCTTCCCTTCTCCTTCCTGCCCGCCCCGCAAGCCCCTCCGTTTGCGCGATCCTTGGTAAATACACACTGACCAGCTTTAGCTTTTCTCCCTCTCGAGACGTGCGGAATAGGAAGGAAGCATCGTGGTCGATGGACGAGACCGAGGCACACACCCCATGGAGGACAATGAGGGCGTGATTCTCCCTAATACCGCCCCCGTGGATGTGTGCAACGGCAGCCCGTCGCGACATGGGCGTGTAATCACCCATCGCATGGCTGGCACGAGCAACACGACTAGCTAAAAATTGCATCTCTCTCTCTCTCTCTCTCTCTCTCTCTCTCTCTCTCTCTATCTATCTATCTATCTATCTAT